ACAGAAAGGCCTTAGTGTCTTAGCAGTTGACTGTAAACAGCAAGCTTCTGAGTCTGTGCAAGGCTCTGAGATTCCTCTGCAGCCTCCCCGGCCTCTTCCTTTTCCCAGTGAGGCCTTGGCACCTGGAGGGAGAGGAGGTTCCCCTCGTGGCCCCCCCAGCAGCATAGTCTGTGTCTCAGAGCTTTGAGGTCCTTCGTGTATAGAGAGTATCCTGGAAGTTTCTGAAGGCCCTTCAAGCTCTCGCATTTTCAGATTCTCTTCATTCTCTCTCATTGCAGCATGGGATTTCTTAGTTAACAGGATAATCAATTCAGTGTCGTTTTCTTAAGGTAGAATCAAAGAGGGAATCATGAATATGTCAGCTTCAGGATTCATCAGTTAATGGCTAGTCTCCTTTCATCTAAACTGCTACCCTCTCCAGCGACTTTTATTTAAAGCAGACCCCAGATATCCTTTCATCTGAAACTATAGCAAATATTCCACCAACAAAAATTCCTTAATCATACCAAGTAAGCAGTTGGTGTTCAAATTTTCTAGCTATCTCAAATATTTTATTGAAAATTTGCTTGTTCAAACCAAGATCCAAATAAGGTCTGTATATCATTGTTGTTCAGTCACTAAATTGTGTCCAACTCTTTGCAACCCCATGGACTGCAACACACCAGGCCTCCCTGTCCCTCACTATCTTCTGGAGTTTGCCAAAGTTCATGTCCATTGAATTGGTTTTGCCATCCAGCCATCTCATACTCTGCTGCCCTCTTCTTTTGCTTTCAACCTTTCCCAGCATCAGGTCTTTTCCCACGAGTCGCCTCTTCTCATGGAGCTTCAGCTTCAGCGTCAGTCCTTCCAGTGAGTATTCAGAGTTGATTTCCTTTAGGGTTGACTGGTGTGATCTCCTTGCTGTCCAGAGGACTCTCAAGAGTCTTCTTCAGCACCACAGTTCAAAAGCATCAATTCTTCAGCATTCATGTCCATACATTACAGTGGAATTATTTATTGATTTCTCTGCCTTCTCTCTCTCTCTTTTTTTTCATTGTGGTTTGATTGGTTGGGGAAAATGGGTCTTTTGTCCCCGCTTTGGGTTTCCTACCTGTGGTTTGGCATAGAGGCCCCGGTTAGTGTTCTGTGCGCCCTTGTGTCCTGGAAGCTGCTGGCCACACGGAGAGCTGATTTTGGCAAGATGACTCTGTGATGTCGTGTGTGCTCCTGTGGAGTGAAGCTGAATCTGGCCTCTGTACCCTGATACAGAGTTAAATCTTGGAGACAGAGTTTTGGGTAAAGTGGAAAAAAATAGTTTTATTGCTTTACCAGACAAAGAGGGCCACAGCCGGCTATCCGCAAAACTGTGTGTCCTGCCTTGGAGCGGGTAGTGAGAAGTGTTGTAATCCTGGTTCAAAGAGGGCGTGATCAGCTCTGGACATTCTTCTGATTGACAGGTGGTGAGGTAAGTGGGAGTCAGCATCCTGTGGTTCCGAAAGGTCTGGGGTCTCTTGCTTGTGGGCCACAGACCGTTAACCTCTCCCAGCTGGCGGGGGTTTCAGTGTCTGCAGAGCAGCTCTAGGGTATTGTTGTGTGTGTCCCTGGAGGAGAATCAGGACCTGCCCCAAGGCTGAACTATTGTTTCTTGACTGCTCCTCCCTTGTCTCTGCATCCCCTCCCTTCCCTGATTAGCAACTGTTTGAGCTTGCCCATTGGAACTCAGGGGGACCTGGAGGCTGAATGAAGCCTATTTCCTGTAATCAAGAATCAAGAAAGGGGGGGACGCAGAAGGCTTTCCTGCCCAGAAGTCCTGCAGGGTCCTGCTGGGTATCAGGGGTAAATGGGAGAAGGCAGGTGTGGCGGTCTGGGTTCAGTCCATGATTCATCATTCCCATGGGATGCTGGCGCCCAGCCCAGACTCCCGTGCACGCACACCAGCCCGTCTGGACAGCACAAAGCTGTGTCTAGGGGCCTGTTAAACAGGGAGGTTGGCCCTTTCTTTGGCAGTGTTCACAAGTAGTGTTGCTTCCACAGTATTGTCATGAGCGAGGTTTCTGTTTGGTTTTAGAGAAACCAGGAGCTGTGGTTTCAGGAGCTGACCTCCTTGCTACTATGAGAACACCCAGCCGTGGCCAGTGCCCGCTGCCCAGGGTTGGTGGGGGAGGAGTTGAGGGGCTCCAGGCCCCTTCCTCTCGTGCCTCCCCTCCTAGCTGGGCTCCCTTCTGCAGAAGATGGAATTTGGGGACCCTAGTCTAGGAGACATGGATTTTCAGTGCTCCTGAGTTGGGCATTTTATCTGGGCCTTTTCAGTGGCTAAAGGTGGAGACTTAAAAAATAGTCACAATCTAAAAGTTGAGAGTTATGTTTTATTCTGGGGGGAATTTTTAGGACTTCAGGAGCCAGCACCTCACGTGACTCTGAGAGAACTGCTCCAAGGAGGTGGGGTAGGAGTCAGGTTATATAGAAGTTTGCAACAAGGGGCAAGTAGTCGGCACATCAAAACTATTTTTGTGAATTAAAGAAAACCAGGTATCTCATGTTAAGGAATTTAGTGCTTTTCTGTGTGTGGGAGGATGTGAGATTTTGGGCTAACTGAAATCTTTCCTTTCATGTGCATCTCAGCTATCTGGGGCCAGCATCCTTCATTTTTCACAACTTGAGTTCTTCGGAGCCTGTAGGGAGTGGCTGCAGCCTAGTAGCTGCTGGATAGCAGGTATTGTCCTCCTTCCTGGGTACCCTCCAGGCTCAGGAATTCTCATTTGGAGGGCTGGAATCGCTGGTGGCGTGACTTCCTGGTTTACTGATATGGCAGGAAATACTTAAATTTCTCAAAGGTGGTTTCATTTACTTGTTTGTTTTGATTTTTTTAAAAAACATAACCTATTGTAAATTCACACTTTTTCTAGTTCAAAATTAGAATTACAAGGTGTTTTAGTTCTTTGATTTTATATTTATATTTCTTTTAGGCTGAAAATTTTTGTCGCTGGGAACATGAACATAATTACCTATTTGCTTGATTATCCCACTTTATTTATACACAACCCATAGAAATGTTTAGAATAGCTCCACCAATATTTTTACCCACACTGTGAGTAGTGAAAACAGCTGAAGATGTTTTTGTCCTCAGGATTTATCCCACTAGGAAACTGCAGCCAAAGGACTGTGTTTCAGAGTCTTCCGGAACAATTCCCCTGTGTGTTCATGCCACCACTTCAGTATATAATTTGGTTAATTTGTTTCCATTTTGCTTTTGATTTTTAGAACTTAAAAAATTAATATCAGTTTATAATTATGTAAACCATTTTGATGGTTCCAGAGCCAAAAGAGGTGTCTGCAGAGAAGTCTGCTTTGTGTTCCTGTCTTCTCTTCTTATTCCTTCCATCACTATTTTTAAAAGGGTTATTTTTCTTTCCCTCCTTTTATTTATAGCCTTGTAATGCAAAGTACGTACATGTCTTCATAAGTTAGATATTTGTTTTTAAATTCTTTTTGGTGTTTAGTTGCTTTACAAGCTCTGTTAGTTTCTACTGTAGAGCAAAGTGAATCAGCTGTAGGCATACAAATATCCCCTCTGTTTTGAATCTCCTTCCCATTGAGGTCACCCAGAGCACAGAGTCGATTGCTCTGTGCTCTATAGTAGGTTATCGTTAGTTATTTATTTTATACACAGTATCAATAGTGTTTATTTTTAATACTTGATGTTTTCTTAGATAAACAATAGCACAGTCTACACACTTACCCCAAACTGGAACTGGAAGATTGTCTTCTAATGATGAGGCAAGTTGTAGCTTAGTTAATCATGACCTTGAGTTAAACGGAGTATGCCTGTCGATTTGGTTATTTTGGACTGGGCAATTACAGCAACTAGGGCTGCCCAGGTGGCTCAGTGGTAAAGAATCTGCCTACCAATGCAGGGGACACTAGAGATGCAGGTTCGATCCCTGAGTCGGAAAGATCCCCTGGAGAATGAAATGGCAACCCACTCCAGTGTTCTTGCCTGGAGAATCCCATGTACAGAGGATCCTGGTGGGCTGCAGTCCATGGGGTCACAAAAAGAGTTGGACACTACTAACCGTACTGAGCATACACAATTACAGCAACTGCCACCTGAATATTCTAATCATATTCCAAAATATTAATAGTTAGAAAATACATGAATATTTCTGTCTTGTTTTTGCTGTTGAAGAAAAAAAAAAAGGAAACTTGGTCTGTTTAATTTACATATATTCTAGTTCAGTGGGTCTCGGCCCAGTGATTTCATCCCCAGGGGACGTGTGGCAGCTTCTCAGATGTCTGGGGATGTTTTTGATCATTGCAGCTTCAGGCGGGGGGAGCCCTCAGCTCCTGCAGTGAATGGGGAGCCCCCCAAGCCGAGAAGTATCAGCCCTGTGTCTGCCTCTGGTCAGAGCCCTGCACGATGGAAGGGGCCTCGAGACCTTGGGTCACCCGCTACCCTCTGTCCCTCTCTCTGTCCCTTGTTCCTCTACCCTTTCCTTCTCCCTTCCCTCCCCACTTCCTCCCTCTTCCTTTTTCTCCCCTTTCTCCCTTCTTTCCCAGTAAAAGTAGATTTTTACATCTAGGAGTATAGGAAAACCGTTTACAAAGAAAAGCCAGGAGGACACCAACGACTGTGCTTTACCGTCTTGTGTGCAGAGTCCAGCACAGGAAGCCCTGTTCCATTCAGTCTGTTGTAAACCACATGTGCAACCACATGCTTTGAGGGAAGCTGATTCTGCTTCAGGACCGGTCTCAGGAAGACGGGATGTCTTGTTTGGTGCAGGCATGTGGACCACCACCTATATGAGAGTAGTGCTTGAAGTTGAGGTTGTGATGTGCTAACAGCACTGTGACTTCACGGTGGATCCTGACGTGCTGCCCGCTTAGAAAGATGAGCATTCAGAGGCACATGTGGGTGTGGGCGGCAGTGGGCAGCTGGCAGTTCTGTGCCTCTTAGGACATTCTCTTGTCATTGACAACATTCCGCATTCCTCTGGGGTCGCTTTCCCATCTCTCAACTTTCCATGCCAGAGTTCTGTGAGATGCTAATTTTCATCTAACAAAGAGGGTGAGTGGTCCTATCTCTGTGTTGTTTAACATGATGTGAATGGGGGGCTCACTCCTTTTTCTCACATCGGGGACCCTGAGGAGTACCAACAAGGTGCCTGGTTGCCCCCAATCATTACCAGAGGGGGGGACCTGGCGTGTGTTCACAGTGCGTTGGAAGCAAGTGTTGGAGGCAGTTGTGTCAGGTCCAGTGATGGGCTCGCTGGCCTCGAATCTTGGCATCCCTTCTGCCTGGGGTGATGGAGGAGGCAGGTGGGTGGGTGCTCTTCCTCTAGTTTCTGCATTGCTGCTCTTCCCTAGGTACCACCCACGCTCCGGCAGGTCCGTTCACCCAGCTGCACAGGTTACTGGTCAGCATGTGTCTGTGGCATAAGAGAGCGCAGTACACAGGTTGATTCTGTGGAAAGAAAGAGGTGTCTTTAGGAAAGTCAGACACTAAGGTGACAGCTCACAGGTTTTTAGCCCTGGGGAGCTGGGTTTATCTGATCATTTTGTTAAACATTTGCCTGTGAACTTCAACTCCTGTGACTGCTCTGAGGGGACCCATGGGGGTGGAGAGCATGCTGTGATGGTTACGGGGTGGTCCTGCAGAAATAGCCCGTTACCAAAATTCCTTTTGATTTTAAATTCATAGCCCAAAGACACAATATTTATTGTCCTTTTTAGGCCCTTGACTGGAATCTCTTTTTTTTCTAGGTATTTTTTTTTTCATTTATTTTTATTAGTTGGAGGCATACAGCCTCCCTTCCTTGTTTGGCGTTTCCCCTGCCTCCCAAGAAGAGTCTTACAAGCCTTGGACAGTGAGAACCTGAAGGGCTCAGTTCTATTTCAGTGTTTATATGAGCTCTGGGCGAGGCCCTTAAATATTGACAGGGGTCTGAAGCCTTGGTTGATTTTTAAAAAAAAAATTTTTTAAATTTTTTCGGCACAGAAATAAATAGTTTTTGATGTTTTTGAGTGGTGGATATTGAACTCGGGTTGTAGGGCAAAGTGGTTTCCATGTCTTTCTAAAGAGGAGAAGCAGGCACCTCTAGCGGCAGGTGGCCTTCTGATGGGGACAGGTGGGAGGCAGTTCTTAACCATTCCTGGGCAGGTGTGGGCGGCCACGCCCTGGACAGCCAGCCTCTTGAGCTTCAGGATTGACAGGGGTGGTGGTCCTGGCCTTGCAGGATTCCTGCCCGGTGGTGGTGGTGGTGGGGCATCTACTAGCAGTGAAGCAAGACATCATGGGTTCACCATGAGCCTCCTGTGATCAGATCAAGTGCCAAGCCTTTTGTAACCCTAATCAGTTAAGACAAAGCAAAGGGCTGTAAACTGCAGAATTCTGTTGGTGTCTGCCTTCCCGTAGAAACAAGATGCTTCTGGGACTTCCCTGGTGGTGCAGTGGATGAGAATCTGCCTGCCAGTGCAGGGGACTCCGGATCAATCCCTGATCTGGGAGGATCCTACATGCCGTGGAGCAACTAAGCCTGCACAACCCCTGGGTGTGCCCTAGAGCCCGTGCTCCACAAGAGAAGCCACCTCAATGAGAAGCCTGAGCATTGCAATGAAGAGTAGCTCCCCCCACCAAAACAGAACAACACAACAAAAAAGAAACAGGATCATTCTAGAAGAGAAAACCAGTTCAGAAATCTGGCACTGAAAACCTTTCAGTGTTGTAGTGTGGACTCGTTAGTTTATGGTTTTATAACTGGCTGAAGGTTCTGGCATAAACTACAGGTTTCTAAGTGCTTTCATCACCCTCGGTCAGGGCTGCCTGCAGGGTGACTATTTGTGTTCATCTGATTCAGTTCATTTCCTAGGAGAACCCATTACAACCCCATTTTCACTAATTTGCGGTTGTAATCCATCTATTTCAGAGCCAGGATTAAATTATCGCCTACCTCCAGAAGATGTATGTTTGAACTTAAGTATCTGTGGGATTTTCATATTCTGTGAAAGACAAAGGGGTGAAAGTTAGCTTCTTGTTAAGTTTTGTTTTCTCCTATTTACTGTTGTTATTTTGTTAGAAAATTTTTACTGTATGTATTTTTTTTTAAAGACAGCTGAAACCTAACATCAAGGGAAACCTTCCTCCTGTCTCAGGCACCCACATGACCTCATTGGAGCAAGACCACTACTTCTTGTGTGTACATCCACCGTTCTGGAAATAGCTAACTACCAGCTTAACTTCCGCTCCTCTGTCCGTGGGATTCTCCAGGCAAGAATACTGGTGTGGGTTACTATTCCCTTCTCCAGGAGATCTTCATGACCCAGGGATTGAACCTGTCTCTCTTGGCATCTAATGCATTGGCAGGTGGATTCTTTACCATTGAGCCACCTGGGACTTTCCTGTCATTCAGTGTCTGGTGCTGTTTAATCAAACTGTTCCTCTCCGATAGCGTCTCAGCCATGTTCTTTCTGTCCATTTGACATGTCCTGCCTGCATTTCCGGTGGAGCCGTGCCCGTCCCCTTGGGTGGAGGAACATTGTGGGGAGTGATCGCTGGGAGTATGGGTGTCCCCAGTGTGGGCTGTTAGTTTGATTCTCCCCAAGGATGGTGTCAGGTGCGTCCTGCCCTTGGTCACGGTCTGTACCACGGCGTGGATGGTGGCCTGGAGACAGGTGTGTGCGGTTTGCAGGTGACGAGTGGATGGAGGGGGGCGGGTTGTCCAGGCCTGAAGCAGAATGAGAACTCTTGAGAACCTGCAGTGCTGGACTGCTGGTGATGTGGAGGAGTGGACCAGGGGGGTCAGCAGGGGCACATGTGTCTGCTTCCTCTCAGAAAGCCACCTGCCAAGTGTAGTGTGAGGGGCCAGGTGGGCTGTGCAGGTGTGAGGCTGCCTGTGGGGGATGCAGTCTCAGCCAGTGTTCTCATGTCCAGAGCATCATTGGCATGTCCACTCTCTGCAGTGGACATCCCTGCTGAGGCCACATGTCATGTGCGGAGAGGATGGAGGGTGACCACAGGGGCCTGAGGTCCCCGCTTGGGCCCCTAGCATCCACTCCTCTGTCTGCTTTGTGGGGGTGAAGCCTACATCTGTCTTGTCTGTTGTATGTCCAGCACCCCACAGGGCTTCAGAAATACTTGCAGAGTGATTTGTCTTGAAGTCTGTCCAGAAGAGAGAACTTTAAGGAAACTTGTCATTTTTTGACTTAGGAAGGATTTGCTTGCTGAAGAGGCCCTAAAGGACCTTGCAGCTCCTCTCACTGTTGGGAGGTTAGTCTCAGGAAGGAGAGATGAGACCTGCTTTCTAGTCCATCATAAACCACCTTTATGTAAAACTGTTATGTTCATATAAGACACTGCTCACTTGTCTCCTTTAGAGATTTTAAAATTCTGCAGCAGATACCAATGGGTACTTTGGATGGGACACATCTATTTTAGAAGTTATCTAGAAAAGTTGAACTGAATTTTTTTTAGGCAAGTGTCTGACCTCAGTCCCTTGCTGGACTGAATCCCCTAAGAAGGATGGCATCTGTGTTGTGCCTTATTTATATACAGTGTCTGCACAGAGCAGATATGTGTCACATTTCCATTGAATAAGTGTGACTTCCATTTATTTATATCAACAAGGTGACTGATACTCTCTCCAAGGAAACCCAGTGTCTAAGGCTAAATGGCAGTCTCTACAGTGCCCAGCTGGAGAAGGAAATGGCAACCCACTCCAGTATTCTTGCCTGGAAAATTCCATGGATGGAGGAGCCTGGTGGGCTACAGTCCATGGGGTCACAAAGAGTCGGACATGACTGAGCGGCTTCACTTCACTCACTTCATACTTTATCACTGGAGAAGGAAACAGCAACGCACTCCAGTATTCTTGCCTGGAGAATCCCATGGAAAGAGGAGCCTGGCGGGCCGTGATCCATGGGGTCGCAGAGAGTCAGACACGACTGATGTGACTAAGCACGCACGCACAGTGCCCAGCTGCTAAGATGTACACTGGGCTGTGCGTCCCCTGAAAGAGAGTCCTTGTGTCCTTTGTCACGTGTGAGGCGTGGCCAGCCTCCACCTGGGTGCCCCTTCTTTCAGACAGGCCTGGTGTTCAGATGCTGAGGGTTTGGAGATAAGTGTTCTTGATTCTGTCCTCCTCACTTTCTCTTCTCTTTGCATCCCTTTGTTCTTACCTGGGACTGATGTCATAACCAAGCTGCAGGTGGTCTGATTAAGCAGGTCTCAGGGGGTTCTGTGTGCAGTGAACAGGCAGTAGGGAAGAGGAACCCTTCCATTTCTGAAATGTGTGGTTAGAACACTCCTATTTCAGCTCTTCTGCATCATCTGAAGATAATTTTTGTCTTTTTGTTCAGTCATTAGGTCATGTCTGACTTTTTGTGACCCCATATACTGTAGCACTCCAGGCTTCCCTGTCTTCCACTCTCTCCCAGGGTTGGCTCAGATTCATGGTCCACTGAGTCAGTGATGCCATCCTGCCCTCAATCTTTCCCAGCATCAGGATCTTTTCCAGTGAGTCAGCTCTTGGCATCAAGTGGCCAAAGTATTGGAGCTTCAAGATCAGTCCTTCTGTTGACTATTCAGGGTTGATTTCCTTTAGGATTGACTGGTTTGATCTCTTTGCTGTCCAAGGGACTTTCAAGAATCTTCTCCAGCACCACATATCAAAAGCATCAATTCTTTGGTGCTCAGCCTTCTTTATGATTCAGTTCTCACGTCTGTACTTGACCACTGGAAAAACCATAGCTTTGACTATACTGACTTGTGTCAGCAAAGTGATGTCTTTGCTTTTTACTACACTGTCTTCTGCTGAGCTATAAATTTGAATAATGCATCACAAGGTGAGTAGAGGTTTAACTCATTCCCTAACTTTGTTCTGTCTTTGTGTCCACGTTTTCACGGAACAAGTTATATGCATGGAGATGGTGAATTTCAGGATTTACTGATTTCAAAGCATCCTCCTTAAGGAGTAGGCCAGGGAAACAGTGAATTCTGAGAGGGCTTGAAATCATGTCCTGAGTGTTTCCTCTGTACAGACTGGCATCGTGGAGCCTAGTTTGTCATTTCTC